GCTACAAAATAATAGTTATGATTTGAGCATTTTTCTCTCTGCTACACAGAGAGATTTTGATAATTATTACCCATCCAATAATCTGGTTTCCTTTTTTAAGATGCATCCTTTGATTTTTCCAAAGATATGGTCTCAGCCTGTTTCCAAGGGGTGAATGGTTTTCACAGAGGGTTCTTCAAAATGGACAGCTATATTTGTATCTTATCCTATCATTAAGGTAGCCATATTTGCTGCAACTTCTGCCCAAATGGCCAAAATTTTAGCCTTGGCCATGGCTCTACAACTCTTCCTCAGGGTCCCACTAAACATCTATACTGATAGTCAATATGTAGCTCAAATTGCCCAACCCTTGGAAATGTCTGTCTATGTTGCCACTCTCTCCAGAGAGTCAATTTTGTCAAGATTTTGAAATTACCCCCAAAACTGGTATTCCTTACAACCCCCAAGGACAGGCTATTGTGGAACATGCTTAGGACACTTTAAATGTCTATTTAGTTAAGGTAAAGAAGGGGGACCTTGAAGATCACCTTTGCTCCCCTAACTCTATCACTTATTTTCTATCTTAAATTTTTAACTGTTGATGATTCTGGTAACTCCGCAGCCGACCGTCATTGGTGGTCCACTGCACAGAAAAGACGTTTGTTTAATTGGAGAGACCTTCCCTTAGGCCTTTGGAAAGGGCCAGATACAATTTTGGTGTGGGCCCTGGGTTCTGTTTGTGTTTTCACACAGGATGGTGAGGCCCCAATTTGGGTTCCTGAGTGTTGTGTGCTCCTGGTTCCTGCTAATATGCTTTAGACATCTAATGACTCATTGGGTGTTGGGACCCAGGCCCCACAGGGTCTCTAACAGTGGTTTTCCAGTATAACCACAGGTACCTCCTGTTTTCCTAACCTTGCCCCACTAGGATCCTGATGTGAACCCTTTGACCTGGGATTTTGGAAGTTTGTATACAAGGCTGCTTCACAATAAAAGTGAGGAACATTCTCTCAGTAAGAGAACCAGGCATCTTGTGTTTCATCCAGATCTCCAGGCTTTTGCCTGATACTCGGACTTAGTGGTGGCCAAGAGCAGCCACAAATTGAGGTCCCACTGAGAACAGGAACAAAAGGGGACCCTGAGAGATCACCCTCAGAATGCTGGCAAGCAAATCAGGATTTGTGAGGGTGGATTGCAAAAGGTACTGCAAAATAGGTGCTTCAACTCCTAAGAGAGTTTGATTGGTATAGAGATCTCAGTCAATCACACAGAGAAAGTTTAAAGAGACAAGGTACTGGTAAGATTTCATTTTAACAGTGGATTAAGCAATAATGCTAAGAAAATTATTAACGAAATCCAGGAAATCTACCTCTGAGGAATCCCTCCTCCATGAACTGCTCCAGTCAGATGAAACAGATGTGGTGTGCACAGGCTGGCTGGAGAAATCAGTTCCTGCGAAAAAGTTGAGGCGCTATGCTTGGAAGAAACACTGGTTCATGTTGCAGATCGGTAAGATGTATGGTAACCCAGATGTTCTAGAATACTATAAGAATGAACACTCCAAGAAACCCTTGGGGATCATCAACCTAAACTTCTGTACACAGTTGGATGTAGCCCTGACCTTCAACAAACAAGAGCTCCAAAAGAGGTTCATGTTTGACATCATTATCAATGAGCACACCTTTTACCTGGTGGCTGAGACAGAGGCTGACAGGAATAGGTGGGTCCAGAGCATCTGCCAGATCTGCAGCTTCAGTCAAACTAAAGAGAGCACTGACACCCTGAGAAACCTTTCTTTAGTCAGTCATAATCTCTGCTCTTCTCCAGCTGAATTCAGCAGCTCCAGTCAGTCCCTGCTCTGAGCAGGGTCTGCGGTAGATAGTGATTATTTGTACATATTCAAGGCACCCAGAAACACGCTGTGTAAGGAATTTGGAAACCTCCACGTGGACTCAGCCGTATCTCCCCCACCACAGCATCCTAAGACACCTTGTGGGGGACAGCCCTAAAAAGAGACGTCCAGTCAGTGACTACAAGTATCCAACACGAGGTGAAGAAACTGCCTGCTGGTCTGCTAAATCTCTAGAAAAGACTATCGTGGGTCAATCAGACAGTGCCAGCTGTGATTTCAATTATATGCCCATAAACCCAGGTTCTGACATCCCCATGAGCACAATGCCCCATCATTTTGCCAGCTGAGGAAGCAAGATCCAGCCACCCTGGTCAATATCCACCTCAAGCCTGGCCAAAAAGCAAAGTCAGTACCCCTTGACCTGAGTAACCACACTGTCATCAATGAGCTCCCATTCAATTCATTTGTCACCAAGTCTTGGTCCACAGTCAACCACACCTTTAACCCCAGCTCCTCCCAGTACTGGCATTCCATCTCCAATACAGACTCTGGAGACTGTGAGAAGAATTATGTCCCTATGCAGAACCCGATATCTTCATCCCCTGTACCCAGTGCCACTAACAACCCAGCTCGAAAAAAGAGTACTGGTAATGGGAATTACATAGACCCAGACTTTCAGCCCACCTCACCACAAGCCATCCACATCCTTGTCACACCAGATGAGAAAGGAGAATATGTCCAAATAGATAAAGAATAGACCCAAGCCCTACAAAAGACCATACAGGAATGGACAAAGATGCATCAGTCTTCAAGATGCTCCAGAGATTCCAAGCTATGGTAAGGATGGCCATCCCTGACATCTCCTCTCCTTTGTGAAGTTTGTTCAAAAGATGAATGTATTTTTTTATGTATGGTGTGGCCACACATGTGTGTATATGAAGTGTGATCGTAAATGTGTGACTGTTAACAAAAGAATGCTATTGTGTTGTCTTTAAATAATTGATTGCTGGGGAAGGGGCAACAATTGTTAATGTACACCTTATGTGGGAGAGAAATTTCTGCTTTTTTCCATGGAGGGTGAAGAACTGTGGATTCTTTCCATACTGGTATGGTTTCATGGGGCAGGACCCCATGAAGCAGTGGCCCATGTGATCCTTATATTTGTTTTCATTTATAATTGGTCAGTTAGAAATGGTAGTGGATACAGTCAATCACTTTTTAAAGGAAAAAGAGGAATAGGATATAAAATGATACTTTGTATTGGAAGGGATCATTTGTTGATACTTTGTATTGGAATGCATCTTCATTTGTTGATATTAGTTAGGTTTTCTAGATATATAGATATTCTTCAAACCATTCAAAGACCTATGGAATATATGGCATTTAAATGGTTTAGGGTTTTTCTTGACAGTGAGACACAACTGCTCCTGGAACAGCAGTTACATCTGAGAGGAAGATGGGCATTGAAGAAATAAAGTTTGCCTTTGACATTGCAAGACTTGCTATTTGGGCAAGAAGCTGCTATTGCCTGAATTGTTTGACTGTTGCTTTATACACTGGACATGCAGGACCCACAAGAAAGTGACTGCTGAAACAATATGGGCAGTCATAAAAGGTTCCAGCTTCATGGAAGAGTCTGCCAGATATTCTACAGGACACAGAAAAAGGTGATGGACAATCTGCCAATGTAGGTGGAAAGTTTAGAATTTCCTGCTTTGCTGAGAAGTCTGTCAGACAAGTTGTGACCTGTAGGGTAAAAATGGATGCCCAACATTACCAAGAAACTCTGGGTGACTGTCTAGGAAGCAAGATGTGTCTCTCATTTCTAGAGTTTATATATTATTGTTCTATGGTCTTTGATG